TGTCCCTCTTTTGTCTTTATACTTACTAGAGTTTTTTTCTGGTTGCTGTGTTTATCTCATTTGTCGCTTCTCATGGTTGGTTTCTTATTTGTTCATTCTGTTTTCTTTTCTTGTATGTGTGTGTAAATGCCTTTGAGTCACTTCTGACTCATAGCAACCCTGTATAGGATTTCCAAGTAACAGCTGGTGAGTTTGAACCACTGACCTTGTTAAAACTGACCTTGCAATCTAATGCTTCATCCCAAGTGCTAGCGTAGGAGACGTTTTCTCTATCCCACCCAACAGGAGACAGCAACTGTGCTCATACAGCCCAGTCACAACAGCATCCTCTGTAGCTCCACCCACTGGACAAGAGCCAATACCAACTCTTATACTACCTAATCAACAACTGACAGCAGCCAACACCAGCACTAATGGGGAATGAGAACAAGGTACATGTTTCCATTCTCTAACTACATCCACAGGAGATAGTTGGTGAAAGCCTAAGAACAAATCAGCATATAACATCAATTAAATATAAACACAACAACCCTACAATGCCCTGGAGACAATTTGAGCTTGCACTAAGAAATGAGAAAATGGCTCAAACAAATGACCAAAATGCAGAGACAGAAAACATTTCTGAGGAAGAAAATATAATACAATGAACTGAAAAATAATTCAAAAGCATGGTATTTAGGAACTTTCCAAGGATTTACAGAAAGATGAAGGAAAGCAAAGAGGACCCAGAAAATTTTTTTAGAATAATTCAGGAAAACACTACAAAAACAAACAGACAAAATAAATGCAAATTTTGAAACAACACAAAACCTACAATTATAAATCCAGATTAACGCTAAGATTTCAAAAATGAACAATACATTGCAAGGGCAAAGAAGTAGATGCCAAGCAATGGAAGCCCAACTAGTGAACTTGAAGACAAATCTCTCAATATTAATATGGCTAGAATAGTCGGGTTCTGACCCATAGTGACCCTGTATAGGGATTTCAAGGAGCAACTGGTGAACTTGAACCACAGGCCTCCCAGTTCACAAACCTACTGATAATTACAATGAATATAAATGGATTAAATACATTAGTCAAGAGACAGCGCAGAATAGATAAGAAAACAGGATCCTTCAATATGTGATCTATAAGAGACATATCAAAAAGGTAGAGACAGCCTAACTGTCCCTCAACAGAAGAATAGTTCAACTTTGGTACATATACACAATAGAATACTATGCAACATTGAAGAATAATGATGAATCTGCTTAACATCTCATAACATGGATAAACCTGAAAGACATTATGCTGAAAGAAATTAGTGCATCACAAAAGGACAAATATTGTTGAGAACAATATTGTAAAAAGTTAAGAAAAGATTTTCTTGATAAAAAAACTATGATGGTTATGGCAGGGGTGGGGAGAGAAAATTATTCATGGGCTAGAGATAGACACATGTTAACATTTGTTACAGTGCAGGCAATATACAACAAGAGGAAGGTTGGCAGAGGAAAGATGAAGGTAGCAGGAGACACAGGGAAGAATGAAATAGTTAAAGTGAATAGAGGTAAACACTGCTAACTGATAGTACATGGAGTGTGTTGCAATCATTGTTATGAAGCAAAGTTATGATTTATAGAATATAAAACTGATGATCTGCTCTGTAAACCTTCACTTAATTCACAATAAAAAAGTTTTAAAGACTGTGGTGGTGGTGGTGTGCCGTGAAGTCAGTTCCGACTCATAGCAACACCATATTGGGTTTCCGAGGCTGTAAAATATTTACGGGATCAGAAAGCCTCATCTTTCTCCATAGAACAGCTGGTAGTGTCTAACTGCTGACCCTGAGGTTAGCAGTCTAACTCATAACCGCTTTAAAATGTTTTTAAAGCAAGTATTTAACTAGCATGAGTGAATGTACTCTATAGTATATTTATGTATGAAGAAGATTCTCATAGTTTAATTTAGGAATGATGCTCTCTAAAAGTGAGGGAAAAGCCCTAAAAACAAGTTTGCATTAGGGGTACTTACCTGGCACTGACATTGTTGCTGTGTTAAGGGTCTTTGAGTCTTTTCTGACTCATAATGACCCTGTAATAGGGTTTCTGTTTTTTTGGGGGGGTATTTATTTTTTTATTTTGCAAAGTAAATGTT